ACTGGGAGCTGTCAATGAATGCAAAGTGTGACGTAGTGCTTATCTAGCATGCACACGAGGGACCCTGCTGCAAATCAGGAATGACTTCACTAAATCCAGTGGAGCTGAACAACCACAAATGAGCAGAATGAGGCCCACGCATTATCCCAGGCTAGCAAGCTATCTTTAGCAGGCCCTAATGAATTCAGCTGCAGCATGTAGTCATTAATCCCAGCGGAAGGAGCAGCTCACCATTACATGACCTAGGATTTCAAGAGTTTCCTATTAATGCACCGGGTTGCTGTCCTAATGCAGAACCCTCAGTGGTTCCAGGTATGGGGGAAACATGGATTACCCTGCACCTGGCCAAAATCTTGATAAGGCTCTTTCAGCACCTTCTGCCCGGGTAAGAAGGGAGGAAAGGCTGGGGTAATAGATGGCACACGAGGCCCAGAAATTGTTTATGATGCAAATATGTTTAAAAGCACTGCCTTGCCTCCTCTGGGAAAAGGAGTTTAAAATTGAAGTCTAATGATAACAAATGATTGTTAATGAGTTGTCTAAACATAATAGATGGAAAGAATTAAAAGCCTAGAATAAACAGGGTTTCATTAAAGAACAATAAAGGAACAACACAAATTTCATATTTTAGAATAAATGGGCCCTTGTGGTCTAGCTGGGAGTGGAGGGAACTGAGGTGGGTGCATGGACTGGGAAGGTGAGCCATCTCCTGCCTGGATGTGCTCCCTGGACACAGAGCTCTGGTGGCTGGGCAGCGCTTGCTGGCTGGAGCAGCTTTGCAGTGGCTGCTTAGGGCTTCACTTCTGCACAGCTTGCACACGTGCCCGACCTGCAGCACAAGAAGAATTCCATCAGCAATCCCCAGGTACTTGAAAGCAGGCACTTGTTCAAGTGTCCTGCTTAAGCACCTCTCAGCACTTTGAGATGGAAGGGAAGATGGGTTTTACTCAGAGGTGTTCACAGGCAGGGGTAACCCTGGCACTGGAAACCTCCATGACCTCCATTCAGATAGTCCATGTAGCCCTTCCTTACAGCACCAAATATCGGATACAGGGTCCACAGGACTGCCTGGGGAACTCAAGCTATTCCTAAGTGAGTCTGTAAAAGTTGCTGGAAAAGGCAAGTTCAAAACAGCTGTGTAACTATCTACAGATTGTCTTTTAAGCCCTTCAGAGGCAGATCTATTTTTTTAAGAGCCCACAGATAAAATTAAAGTTGAAAATCACTCCTCTAGAAAAGTGTGCTACTGAGAATGTGAAATTCTGCAGAGATTTCACAAATGGTTCATCAGAGTGCTAGATGCCAAGAGCACACACCATATTTCATCTCAGTGTGTGGCAGATGGCGTATTGTGGATAGATTTTAGACCAAGATTTTATTAAGGACATGTGAAGAGATGATCGATAATTCCTTGGTGGGTTTGTTTCTAAGACTGTCTGCATTTGACATGGTGACATTATTGTTATTTGTGTTTAGTGGGGAACTTTGAAATTTCAAAGTTGTTTTCAGACTTCAGAACAGACCTCTACTTAAGGTTTCATTTTAAATCATCCTCCGGATAGGAGTAGTAGTCTGCAAACCCCTTTTAAACTCTGGGATTTGACTTAGCTTTTAGAATTTTTCATTAAAAGGAAGTAGGTGACAATAGACAAAACCTGAAAAGATGTGGCAAAAAACATCAATATTTCATCAGGAAACATTGCTTTTACTACTATTTTACTTATTTATTTTAAAAGGCCCTTTTTTCTCTAGGAATTAAAAAGAAAAATAAAGACAAATCTCAGGACTCTTCACCCCAACCTCCCATTTTTCATTTGTTGGCTTGGAGATCTTTTTTCTATTTCAGAAAGGATTGCACGTTCAACAGACTGTATGTGAGAGCAGGAGGTTTTGCTGTGGTGATGTGTCTGTGTTTCAGAGGGTGTCCATGTCCAAGTGTAATGTACTTGTCTTTACTGTTATGCTGATGGTGGATTGCAGATCTGACAGGTTCTTTCTGTATGTTTGTAAAGCTGCACAGGGCACGGCACTAGAGCGCCCCGGTCTTGAGAGAAACCCTGGAACAGCCCTAACATTCAGCTGGGGCTGGCTTCTGCCTTTGTTCGTGTTAATTTGTACTTCGCCCAGTGATTGGTTTGCCTGAAGTTGCTGGCAATACTTGTGAACTGTGCAACTCAAGTGCAGGATAAACCAGGCTTGAAAAATCCAGACAAGAATTAGAGCTGTGCAGTGTTAGAGCTCAGCAGTGTTTCCCAATGGGAAAATGACTTTCCCATGACAAGGTGTCTCTTTTTCTTGAGTAAAAACATGAGCTTTGTTTTTGGAAGATACTACTTGGCAGTTTCTTTTGAATCTGGAAAATGATCAATTTTTCAAAATGGATTTAGAAATTTTTCTTTAGAATTACCTAGAAAAAGTATCCCACCTCCTCTCTTCAAATCAAGGAAAATCAAGGTTACAAATGAAACGAGATTTTCCGTAGGAGGAAGAATGTTGCTTGGCATTTTTATTAATAAGAATTAGCACTAATATTTTTATTTTTACCCTTTGTTAGTAGTATTAGTATGAGTATCTCCTTGTGCGTTTAGGCTTAATGTAGTGCAGTCTGCTTTTCTGAGGACATTTGGTCCTGCAGTTGGGCATGTGAGAATTTGGGGTCCTGCTGTACCTGTGACATTGTCAGTGTTAAATATGACTGGGCAAAGGCATTGAAAGAGATGTGTGAATCTTCAGCCATATTTGCATTGAACTCTGTATGTGACTGTGTGGGGAAAAGACACATCCATACGGATATCTTGCTAGTCCTTCAAAAAGGAGGTCTGGTAGTTGACAGTCCTGCTCCTTGGCAGCTGATGAAGTTTCTAATCCAGTGAGAGAAGAGGGAAACTTTCCAAATGCTTCTTGTGCAGCTGAATGACATAAAAATGCAGACTGGGGGTTCATATCTGAGCCCCTTGGAACTAAGGTGTTCTCAAGAAAAACTTGAGCCAAATGGACCCAGTTTCCCAAATAGCTCAATTTTGGCAAAACTTCATTTGATTAAATGAAATTATATTAAAACATTCTGACTGGCTTTAGGGAGGGGTATCACAAGCAGCAGTTTGAGACTTGATCTGGTTAGTCTGATGTCTGACATCACGGACAAACAAAATCCACTCCATGATTTCATACACAGAAATGTATGAATCCAGCTGGATGCCTGTGTTTATTGAGCCTGCATCCATAGGAGTGTGCCTTGCTGGCTGAATAGCTTGGGTCACACCTCAAGGGTCTGTGCCCTGTGGGTTTGACTATGCTGTGTGGCACCCAAAGCAGTGCGAGTGCAAGCAGTGTTGTTGGTTTAATGGCTGGCCTGCAGGTCTGGGAGAATCACAAAATGGTTGAGGTGGGAAGGAACCTCTGGAGGTCATCTTGTCCAGCCAGGCCCCGTGCTCAGGCAGGGCTACGCAGAACCAGTTGCCCAGGACTGTGTCCAGGCATCTCTGCTGGTCTCCCTGGCTGTGATTGTAACTGCAAGGAAAGTTAAAAGGCTCAGTTAGGCAGCACAGGCCCTGTCAGTAAATCATTGTGCAGTTCAGGCTGTTTTTTCCCCCAGATTGTACTCCATAGAGAATCAGACAGACTGTGCTGAGCTGGTCCCATCTGCACCCAACCTGGACAGCAGCTTTATCTTGCCTTGTAAAACTGCAGAGCTCTGTGACAAAAGAGTTAATCTCTGCCTTTGTTTCTCTTCCTCTCTCTCTTCTCTCTTGCAGCCGACTGAAAGGCAAGATGAGAGCAGATCCATCAGTGTCAGCTGCTTTCAGCATATCAGCACTTTTGGGGGGTTTATTGGAGACTAGTCCATCAGCAGTGCTTCCAAACTGCAACCACACTGCAAACATGCCCCTCCTCCTGCACGGCAGCCTGGGGACACAATGCCGGGACCCGGTGCCGCTGGCCAGGGGCTGGGTGATAAATGACTGTGAGAGGCATCTCCATGGCTAGCAAGGTCCAGAGGGTAGGCCAGAGCCAAGCTCCTGGGGAGGCACCAATGAAACCATATTAATTTCTGGGCGTGCGTCCATGTGTGTCTGTGTGTCTGTACTGTCTGAAATAATACACTTGACACAAACACACATGCTTCACTTCTAACACACGGAGTAACATGGGAGAGGGGTGAAAGGGAGAAAGCAATGTGATTGACAGGTTAATGAAGCAGTTCATAATAGCAATGGATATTATAACCTTAGAAACAGCTTGTAAATACCCAGTTGCTTTACATGTATAAACATACTCCCATGCTCAGGACTGTGTATATACATTTGCCTATTTATGAAATATATATGCATATCTAAAAGGTGCAGGAATGTGAAATCAGTGCTCTGAAGCGAAACCAAAGAATAAATAGGAGCTGGATAAAATTAAGCTTCATTAGCCTAGCAGCCATATATATCCCCTGCCTTTTATTTTACTCTTAGGGTTGGAAGTCTTCCAAAGCAGTGGAGGGACTTAGAAGCACACATCTGACTGACTTGCACTCCTAAGCCCTCTTGGTACTCTTGAAAACTCCACCCATGTGGGGTTGTTTAATTGTTGATGTTTGTTTTTCTTTTTTTTTGTTGGTTGACTTGAGGATTTTTGTTTTTGTTTGTTTGTTTATTTGCTTTTGTTGTTGATGGTGGTTTTTTGTTTGGTTGTTTTTTTTTTCTTTTCATGTGTTTTTAATCCCAGGGTCTTGGAAAGAGCAGCCTCAGCCCATCCATGGAGGGCTGGGAAGTTGTGTTAGCATGAAGAGAGTGCTTTGAACCCATATCTAATCCAGGGTTTTGACTAATTCCTTATCACTTTGGTATGTCACCCTTTGAAAAGCTGGATCTATCTTTTACTAGGAAGATAATTGGATGTCTTTGTTTGCTTCTGTACTGTATATATGTGTGAATTTCCCAGTGTATTCTGGACTGGGGCAATGACTTACACAACAATACTTTCCCTCTTTTGTAGGACTTACTAGCAAATATAAATAGTGACATACTGAGCTCCTGTGGATGGACAACAACCCCAGGAGCTGAAAAAACAAGGTCAGCATGACTGAGGACCTTTACTTCTTCATTCCATGACTCTGCTTTTAGTTGCAAGCCTCAGTTTTGCAGTAAGATAATTCCTCTGGGTTCTTCTCCTAGCTCCTCTTAGAGAAAAATAGGAGAAGATTAGAAGATTTCTTCTCATACATACAAAGGAGTGTTAAATTTGCCTGTTCCCAGTAGAAGCCAAGCACGATTTCTAAGTATCATGGCTGTGGACGAAAAAATTCAAAGAACCAAGTGTACTGGGAAGTGTCAGAGCCACAATGTTGATAGAACCCAAACCTACACAATGGAAAGTTTATTTTATCACCTTGAAGTTTGGCTCAGACTTGAACTCTTGTGAAAATCCTCAGCAAATTCCCCTCTAAGACTATAGAGCTATGTTCCTGGCCTCAGGTCTTCTGGAAAGAGCTTTGGCAGATATTTTCTTCCCTGATGGGAATTCCAAGATAAAAGCACTTAAGAGGTGGGATGTGTTCAGAGACTGCATGGTGTGTGGCACCGTGCAAGGGGCAGAGATACACATGCATATCATGGGCAATGTGCAAATAATCACGCCTGCAAGTCTCTAGCCATACATGCTTATGCTCTTGCTACAGCAGCGAGGGATCATTTTGTTATAAGGCAACTCACACTGTCTTGGTCTCTCTTGACAAGAGTTCTTGATGATCTAGTGATCTGAGCTTACAGGCAAAACAGTCAGGCCAAGTATTTCTGTGTTAATCTTACAGCTGTGGAACAGAGGTAACTTGTCCCTGAACACATGAAGAGCTGAAGACAAAGATGGGAATGGGACTCAGATGTCCAGCATGGTAAGCTCATTATTTCTGTTTCTGTCTAGACTGGTCAATTATGCTATAGCAACACTAGCTGAATAGTTGCACAGAAGTAAAGAGCTGTGTATTATAGTTTTTAGGAATATCATAACTCTGTAACTGGGAATCGTCTGGGTTTGGGTGCAGTTTGAACCACTGTCTTAAGAATACTGTTCTGCCTAGCATCCTCTGTCCTTCTTTAAGCTCCCTTTTCCTCTGTTCCCTAGAATTAGGGTCTGTAATTGCCCTACACAGGCACTTTTAACCCTTAACTGTAAAACAGAGGAGAACAAGTTGACTTATGCCAGGATGGGAGGAGAATTTTGATCTGCAGCCTGAAGAATTAGTGTCCTTGCATCAGGGGCTTACCCTTAATTCTCCACTGAGGAGGACTGTCAGGTTTGAGCAGACTGATACTGTTTGTGCAGTTCTCTCCCCTGCCCCAGAGACCAGAGCTGTGGGGTGGGTGTTGGTGAGCAGTTAACTTCAGGAGGGAGCAATAGTTTAGGGTGTGGGAGGTGGCAAGGTCTCCCTGTCTTTGGTGGGGAGGAGGAGCAGACTGTGCATGGTAGTTCAGCTGTCTTCTACCATCTAGGCCAGCCAGCCGGATCTGTGAGGCCTTCCCAAACAGCACAGCAAGCTCAGCTTTGCTGCTGTCAGCACTGCTGAGAGCAGAAGCTGGGGATGGGTGAATCAAAATATCCGGATTGCATGGATATTGGCTGGAAGCGTTCCACCATATCCATGTGGCTGCCTTTGCGTGATATTCATGCTCGTCAGAAAATTAATTATTCCATTCACCGGGCTCTGTGAGCCAGGAGGATTACCTCTCAATACCTGGAGTTCCTCATGGGGGTGGGAGGGGTCTGTCTGCATGCCTGCTTATCCACAAGGTATATTGTGAACATGGATGTGTACAGACAGCAAGAGATTGTACAAGACTATAGATACAGGGAAGGAGTTGCACAAGTAATGCAGAAATAAGGAAGATGCTTTGCTCTGTGTGTCTGTGAGAGAGAGTGCCCTTGGGAATGCTGAGGGGCTTTGTCTGCATGCCAGAAAGAAAGGTATTTTCTTCCAGGTAGGTGAGGGTGCAGGGCCTGGGAAGGTGGCAATGCGTTCCTTATCTTTGCCTTTATGTGTGTGAGGGGTATATGCATAGCCAGGCTTTTTAGACCTACCTTCAGAACGGTTTACATACATTTAATACAAGCTTAAATTTGCCCATGGTTTCCTGTGTACTTGTGCTTACAAAAGGAAAAAAGCTCATGTGTATACAGTGAGTATTGAAAAACTGCATATGTGGTGGAAAAACTGGTGTCAGGTGGCATCACATTAGTACCTGTGATTTTGGATACATTAAATTTTGACTATGGTCCTCCTAAATACAGCTCCAGTTCTTGTCTTCCTGTTAGTACAGCTGATCAATCCCATGTACACCGGGGTAACTTACATCAGGAAGTAAGCAGAATCAGGTCTTGTGATGTTTGAAAACAAAAGCTTTGCACCTGAGTTTGGAGGCTTTCCTGTGATCCTCTAAGTTACAGGATGTTTTATCCCATATGTGCATGGGGTGGGGTTTTCCAACTACAGCAGCAAGGCGAGATCTTTTCTGGAAAGGAAAACTGCTTTATTACGGCTTGGCTCTGAGACTGCCCTGATTGGCTCTGCTAGGCAGCACAGTGCGGAATTTCAAGCTTGGGGTGTTCTCAGAAATTTGTGTTATTAATTGAAAGCTTATTAATGGCAAACACAGGATGACATTTTACATGGTTTAGTTATGTTCTGTGAGTCGTATGTACAACGCAGCCTCAGCCACAAGGCAAGGAATCTCCTGCCGTAACTGATAACAGAGAAGCAATAACAGCTCTGTTCCCACTAACTGGTCCTGGGGCGACAGGGACAGCCCTTGCAAGTGTCTGATCATCTCCTCTCTGGTGGTCACTCATCCTGGGATTAAGGGAAGCCTCAGAGGAAGGCAGACTTACTCACTGAGGTAATAAGCATTTTGGTTTGTTACCAGCTGGCTTGAGAACTTTGGCCTCTCTGAATCTCTGCAATCACCCTTAAAAATAAAAAGACCTCGAAGTGATGGAACTGCCGACATCACACTGAAAGTCAGGAGCCCCGTGTCTAGAGCAGGATATGTGATGTTGCTCTATATAATTAAACTTTGTTGTGCTGAACTGTGGCTGGGTTCTCTATAGTAATGCTTGAGTCCCCTTCTGTCATGTTTGAGATGTGGGTCAAGTCTGCATCTGATTTATAAGGTAATGGAGAGAGCATATGTTTTTGGAATAAAACTGAATATTTTTTCTAATATCCTGCAAGAAAAGTCAGTTTCTTCTGCCCAGCTTCATAGTTGGTCAGTGCTATATATCATATAATCGTAGAATATCCTGAGTTGGAAGGGACCTACAAGGATCATCAAAGTCCAACTGCTGGCCCTGCACAGGACAGTCTCCAGAATCCAACCACGTGCCTAAGAGCATTATCCAAACGCTTCTTGAACTCTGTCAGGCTTGGGGCCATGACCACTTCCCTGTGGAGCCTGTTCCAATGCCCAACCACCCTCTGGGTGAAGTACCTTTTCTTAATACCTAACTTAAATCTTCCCTGACACAACTTCACAAGCCAAGTGACCTCAGCCACTCCTCATATGGCTTCTCCTCAAGGCCCTTCACCATCTTTATAGCCCTCCTTTGTGCTATATAAAAATCAAAATGAGATTCCTGTTGAAACAAGAAGATAACAAATGTCTTAGATTCTTAACATATTTTTAAACAAAGTGGCATTGCCCAGTCATTGTGTGGACATGGCTGTGGTGTCCACCTAGTCCATGAAGGGTACACCTTTTTAAAGTAGATTTCTGAAGACCATCATCCAGAGTTGTGTTTATCTTTCTCACAGCTATAGGCATGGGCAAAGCAGGCATACTGCTAGGAGAGGCACTCCTGCAAGCCACATCCATGGATCTGCAGCTGGTTTTGTCTGGAAAGAAACCAAGTTTGTACAAAACCTGCAAATATCTCCATCAATCCTCTTGGCCCTGTCCTCCCCACTGCTATATGTGAATCTCCTCCTGTCTGACAGAACTCCCTGGGTCTTTCCCAGGCATGCTAAGAGTAGTTAAATTCAGTGTTGTCAGAGGTGGTGCTTGCTGATGTTGCTGAGGTTCCTCAGGGAAGCCACTTACTCATCATAAGCTCTGCCACTCTGCAGCTATCAGCTTCATCAATGGCTTGGAGCTGTGTACAAAGTCCTTTCGGCACTGCTGAGAGCTGTTCAGGGGAATGTGGACAGCAGAACATCTCTGCATTCCCTTTTCCAGCAGCACAATTATTTCCTGAAAGGCATTGTAGGCACTGGGAGGAGATTATAGGCCAAGTGCTTAAACTCTTCCACCCTGGTTTAGCAAGAGCCCCACAGCTGTGGATTGTCTGATGCCAGCAAATAAACCAGATGGACGACATGGATGGAAACAGGCCAAGCTGGGATGGAAAGCACAGAGTGCCCTCCTGTCTTAATGGGCTTCTGGAAGATGAAGTAGCACAAGCTGAAAAGAGCCTTCAGCTGAAAAGCCCCCTGTGTTGAAGTAATGGGAAACTGGACCTATTTTTTTTTTGTGGGGCTTCAGCTGTGACTTGTTGGGATCTCCCCTGATACTACAGGAAGAGTGGTAGTGTCCTAGGTGCCTGCAGGAAGGTGGGGTGTTTCCAGTCTTCATTGGAGAGAAGAATCTAGATCTACAACTGCAGAGAGCAGTGGGCTTGGGAAGAAAAATCCAGCAGTCATAGTGAGAGGTGTCATAGATCGTATGCATGCTAGAGGGTGTCACTGGAGTTGCCTGTTCTGGTTAGCAGGAAGATGAAGCCCACCCAGTCTGCAAAGGACAGTGATGGGTCAGTGCTTCTGAGCAACATATGCTGCTTTAGCAAGGGGCCAGACCCTGTTGTTCTTCCAGCACTTCATGTCTGTGATTTGTTATCTGAGTGATGGCAAGGCCTACCACTCAGATCAAACATTCACCATGCTAGGTGCTTTATATACAAGTCTAATGTCCAAAAAGAGCTTTCTCCCATGATTAACAGAACATCATTTTATGGATAGGCTGTCATGAAAGGCTGTGAGAAAACCACAAAGCTTCACTTCACCACCTGTCCAGGGTCCCCAGACTCTGGCTTTCTTCGAAACCTGAGATAAGGCAACCTACCTTTGTCTACGCATATCTGTTGACCATTTAGGCACCCAAGCTTGGTGCCACCAAATAACAAGTGATCTGAATGACTCATGGATCCCTTGAGTTTGAAGGCTACAGAAAATATCCCAGGACTTTGAAGACTCACTTGGAATCATACATGGAATCCATTATCAGTGCTGAGAACCTGACTTGGTCCTAGTCTTATGCCTTAGGCTCATGACTGGTTTTCCTCCCACAAGGCTAGTTGTTTCAAAAGGTAGCAGCAAGTATGTTCATCAATAGAGTATGCCTACAGCCCACTTTGGAGTACTTTGGGTTTAGGATATTCCAGCTTTACTAGGAGATCACTCTCTTACTACTAGGAAACGCAATCTGCTGGAGCCTTTCTCCAATAAAGGCTTGAACCTCAGTTCAGTGCCTCTTCAAGCCAGGCCAATCAGCTTGCAAGTCTGTTTTGGAAGAGACTACTGAACACACCCCTTAGCGTGCTGGAAAATCGCCCCTGCTGGTAACAGGTACTGTCCAGACAGATTACACTGTGTTTATGGGGTTCACTGTGGAGGGGTGGATACAGGATACGTTTGCCAGGCTGTTTATGGCTGTGAGGGAGCGTGCACTTTCTAGGTGTGATCCTTGCCTCTGCCATTTTTCCTTCTTCCTCTATTCTGCCATCCCTGAAACAGCCTGGATTGGTTATAGCCCACATGTTACAGTGGCCAACCTGCAAAGAGAGAGCCAGAAAAGTTAATGTGGAGTTCTGGTCTACTCCCAGGATGCATTTGGGCTGCAGCCCATAATGATATGTATAATTGCAAAGGCCTGCCAAAAAAAGCAGGCTGGATTTAATTGAGTCAACACACTGCTATTAATAATAAAATGGCAGAGACTTTGCTATTAATCACTTGTGCTGGCTTTATCACAGGCAGTCTCGGCTATCTGGCTACCAAACAAGACCTTTAAAAAAAATGGTGCAGTGGAAAAAACTTACTAGTGGGAATACACCTGCTAACAAAATAAACCTTGTAAACAAAATGTTCCTTGCAGAAGAATGTTCTTTCTGAAGGGGCAGCTTATTCGGGAGGCAAATGGGATTATGTCAAATGCCTGTGTCCTGCAGCAAAGTCCTCCTTTTATAGGAATAGATCACTGGAGGATGCACTTGGCAAATGGTGCATCTTTGTAGAAGGGTATACTTGATAAAGGACTTTGAATTGAGTGGGCATTCAGGGAGAGATGAATCCTCCAAAGGGAAAGGTAATTTTTACAGGAGTACAGCACAGCCCAGAGAGGAATGCATCTGTTCCTAGTAAATGGAAAACACCATATCTGATGAGTTACTGAACAAAAATGGAAATGCAAACTAAATAGCATTCCTGACACCTAAATTACAGACCTCCTTATGGAGGTCTGGATAAACTGTGGTATGTCGAGTTGGATGGCTGGATGTGCAGCTCTGTACCCCAAAGTGGATGCTGCCAGCACTGCATGCAGCATCACTGAAGGAGTAGGATCTGGTCTTCTGAGGGGTCACCAAGGCCCAGAAGTTCCCTCTTTCCTATGACCTGACTCAGTGATGCCATGAGGTGGAGGAAAGACTTGAATGGGGCTCGAGCTCTTGCAGGTATGCACCATATTTGCTTTCATGCCCAAGTTCCCTGTGGTCCTCCTGATGAAGTCCAGTGCCTGAGGCTGGTATTGTTTCCTCATGGTAGTGCAGTGCATTTTTGAAGTCCATCCTTGCTGAGGTTGTTATCATAGCAAACATGGTAATCACAATCTTCATTCTTGTTTCTGAGTAGAGCAGCTTGCGATGACTGTCTGGGAAGGCACCTTGTGGAAAAAAGTTATGAAACCCAGGAGGAAGGGAAGAGGCTTGAAAACCTTGCGTCTGAGCAGGGACAAGGATGTGTCTGTCAGCAAAGGATATACAGCAGGTAGATAAACAAACAACACAGATTAAATCTGTGATAGAACGTTATGTTGCTTTTAGTCTAAGAGGTTGGAAGGTTTAAAACTCTTCTAGCAGACAGCTGGAAGGGGAGAATCCCCTGACTTCCACATCTGAGAATCCAAAGGAATGGATCTTTTCTTCTCTTGCAAGTTTTCCTGCAAGAAGAGATACATTTTCTGTACACCGATGCAAAAATCTGTGTGCATCATGCACCAAATAGTCAAGCAACATAAATGATTTAACAGGCTAAAAGGCCTCTTTCTGCTATGAATTATCAAGGTCCATAAATGAATGCAAATGTTATCTCTCAGAAGGAAAGAGAAAAAAGAAAAGAGAGAAAGCAACAAAAAAAAAATCGCAGAAAAAAATTATCCACTTCCTGCTGTTTTCCTTTCCTCCCCATACAGTGAGTGTCTTATCCTCAGAGAAATTCACTTCATTGTTAGAAATAGCCGAAATTGGCTTGCAACTAGTAAAGATGCCAAGAATTTGCACCTTGCTCTGTGACCTAAAGCAAAAATGACATGAACATTGACAAATTTGACAAGGAAATTTGTGCAAAAAACAACTTCTATTTGGCTAGCCAAGCAGCAAATATGTCGGATGATATGCTTTATTAAGCAATCCATTTTTCAGCAATAGCTGCACCATCTGCAAAGGTTAGTGTGCATCAGGCTTTCCACAGAATTTCATCTGCGTCTGCAGCTAGGTGCAACACACGACCACATTTTTCATGTACATACAATTTTGGATGCAAATAGAATACTTGATGAAAGAGGTGACCTTCCGGACTGACTTCCCCATGCAGTAAAGTCACAGGCGCAGAAGCAGCTGAGAGAAACATATCTCTGCCTGGAGGGAGGCAGGGAGTAGAAGAGAGGAAGGAGGAGGAAAATGAGACATAAAAAGAGGAGGAAACTTCAAGAAAAAGTGTTTCCCAAAAAACCGGCTTGGCCCATCACATAGCAGAGACTCTGCACTTGTACCAGTCAAAGTGGAATGGAAACTGCTGTGTTAGGTAGCTGCAGTTTTCTTCTGGGTAGTATCCATCTCTCCATCTTACAGTTTTTCTCTTGTTTTCTTGTGTAGTTCACGCTACTACACTTTCTACACTTCCTTGTCTTCCATTGTTCCCTCTCATGGTTTGCATTCCAGACTTGTCATCTCTTAGGGATGGGACATTTACCTTCTTACTACTACAGCCCCTGCCTAGGGCTGCTGGATATCCTTCTGAACATCCTTGGCTGTACAGGATGCATTTTCTAAATCCAAGGAAGGGATGCATTGCTTTCAAGCATTGATGGGACAGATCTGTTTTCTGCCTTTTTTTTTTTTTTTTTTTTAAGTCACGATGGTCTTGTCTGTGTATTTTCCTACATTGTTTTGTAGTGGATGGATATGGTCCTTTCATGTCCTATCTGTCCTACATTAGGTGAAGTCAACTCTTCCCTAGTCCCCAGTCCTCTTTCCCAAGTGTATGCTGTACACATGGCTCCCTACGCCTCATTGATGGTTGCTGGTTATAAATTCATGTTCTCAATCCCTACTCCACTTAGCTGAAGTTGGATGCCATCCCAGTGCCTTGCAACTGTCCCTGGTCCAGTGGAAAGTTTAATCTGCCAGTTCCTGCCGTGTCGTCCTATGGGGAGAGTTCAGTTCAGTGCAGCTCCACACTGCACAGAGAGAGAAGCTCATTAGCAGGACATGGTAGTGTCTGATGACACTGTGGTCCAAGAAGGCCTCATTAGGCACAAAATGTTTTCTGTAGCTCTCTGAGATTTCCTAGTAACTTAAGGAATTCAGACGTAGCTACTGTGGGGGCATAGAGGAAATGGGGGACAGAGATGCTCTCTCCAAGGGCCATCTCCCATCTGTGTCTTTTGGAGGAACAGACATTGGACAAAGCCTTTGACTCCTTTTCTGTAGCTTTGATCCTTGCTGCAGAGATGCAGATGGCACTGGCTGGGCCTGGAAGGCACACTCTTCCCTGGTTAGAAGCTAAGCAGTGTTAAGTGATGAATGTTAAACTTAACAAGGGGTCTTACAGATTTACGTAAGGATTTTACTGCCTGCCAGGTATAAATGATGGAACAGCTTTGATCTTTAGGGGGATCAGTACTGGAAGTGATTTAAACTAAAGTTAATAAAACTGCTTAAAACTGTACTCTGTAGTCCCACAGGCTGAAGGAGCCCTTGGCCACTTGACTGCTCTAAGTAAAAATTGTTCACATTTATGAGGGAGACCAAATCCCAGTGGTGTTAACTGTGTTTCCAGCTGAATAATAAATGGTATCTTGCAGGAGTCCTGCAGGTCCTTCCCTGTGTGCACTGCAGGTCCCACAGCCTGCTGGAGCCACCAAGCTGTAATCCACAGATGCAAAAAAAAATGGTAGACTCTTGGTAGTTCTGTGGGCTTTTCTCATTCTCTCTCCACTTTGTAATCCCTAAAACATGTCTAATCCTTTTGCCATTTTGTAGCATGTCACAAGCTTCCATTGGTGATTTTTTAAATTTTATGATCAAGCAGAATTCTTGTTGTGTTTTGTCTTTGGAATTTGCTGGCCAGCAGTGACAAGTACATGCCGTAAACATTAACATTTCATTGGCTTCGTGGTGAGCTTTGCCACCAATGACCTTTAGAAACTGGGCATCACACTACAGTTTTTACTAATGGTCCTGTAATGTCTACTTCCACCACAATGCATCTTAAGAAAGTTCCTCACAAAGGTGAAAATTATCCTTTTTAATGGACGGTCCATTTTCTGTCTCCCAGGAATCTCAGTTACCTCCTCTGCTATAATCATGGGTATTTCCACTGGGGATTTCTGTGATGTCCCAGGATGAAACAGTGTGAGCTGCAGTGGGCGGGGTGCTCAGATGCTGGTGCAAGCAGCAGTTGTGTAATCTGCACTGATTCAGATGAAGAAGTGGCTCTTTTGTAACTATTAGAGGAGTTGATGGAATTTACTGGCAGCCCTGCATCAGCCCAGCTCATTAGGTTTACAAGTTACAAGAGAACAAATTCCATCCGTTAATTGTTCGCAGCTATGAGGCAAACAGGCCTTCCCTGCATGCCAGGGGGTCATACTGTCAACTGGAGTCACCAAGCTGTCCCTCCACAGACACACAAGTCATCCTACTATTGCTATAGGGTTTTTTAATTCTCCTGCCATTTCCTAGAAACTCTTTATCAGCTACCAGAATGCCTTCTGTCTGCTTGGTAACAAAACAAGTAGCCTTTCATGGCCCTCTCTAGAAATTGGTGATTGGCAGCCACTGAAATTGAATTAGCAGTAACTCACCACTGGTAGAAAAAAATACTTTTTTTGTTTTTATTTCAGCCCAGTGCACTGTTAGTGATGGAACTCTGCAATACAATGATTTGATGAGGCCATGATCTTGGAAAGATACAAAAAGAGATGGGCTGTTTCAGGCGAATCATGAAGAAATCCTGAAATATAAAGGTACAGTCAAGTCTGGGATGGGATTTGCTCTGTAGGGGAGCCCGCTGGAAGCTGCCAGTGCTTGGGAGGAAGTTGCATGAAAATCTTGTTACTTGTACCTTGTTATATAATTACCTCTTGCAGAGTGGGTTTTTTTTTCTGAATTACAGTCACTGTTGGAGACAGGTTATGTGCTTAGAGAGACCACTGGCTGGATAGCCTGGTATTTCCTGCATTCTTACTTCCACGGATCCTCTAATAGCCCTGGTGCCCAGCTTTGTCCTGCTATTGTGTCTCACTGTGAGGATGGTCTATGTCTGAGATTGTCGGGGGATTTCTGCAGGCAGCTTCTAGTGGTATTTTCTGAGCCCCCTGATATGCTCCTCACACTACTGTAGCATTTTCTAAATTCCCTGGGGGCTGAGGGTCATCTCTCACTTTACATAGGATAAATTGATAATGACACAATGAAATTAGTCATGATGAAATAGCTCCAATTTTATTACAATGAAAGGGGATTTTGGATCTGCGTTTCTGTTGTGTTGTGTCTGGAGCTGTGCTTACACCACAGTGGCTTTTTGCCAGAGATTTCCAATTTTGAGGTCTCCTGTCCCATCCCATCAACTTGTAGCTAGATTTAGGAAACTGTTTTCCAAGGTTTCCTGTGTGTTTCCAGAGAAGTTTTTCCTGTTACATCTTGTAGCAGCCTGTCTGTTCACTGTGGCTAGATTTTTGTGGGGCCACAACTGTTGCGTTAGAGAATGAGGGAAGTGATAGACCATCTAGTGAAGACTAGATGATCTGCCATGGCTGGAATTTACTCCTCACACACCTGTCAAAGCAAGAGGAGAAGTAGTTTGGGAGGCATCACTAGTTTATGGCTGTTTACTTGTGGCTGCTATTTCTCTCTTTTGTTGTACTACTGCATTGGACTAAGGACTAGTTTCGAGTAGCTTTCTTACTCCCTTGAAAAAAATGCTATATGTCCCTTGAAGTCTGGGGAAATCTGGCACATTGTACCCTGAGAGTCCTTTGAACCTGACCCTCTGCTCTTGGCTCATTTCTGCTGCCTGGTATCTTGCCTGTGCTGCAGTGTGGAGTAGAACACTGAAGTATTCAGACAGGATAAATCAATGGGTGTCTGCTGATTTACACCACTGGAAGGTTGGGCCCAGGTCAGATAGAGAGCAGAGAACCCTCCAACAGAGTCTCTTTAAGTGAAACCACAGGCAGGTATTTCAGCCCAGTTAGCTGGGCATTCAGTTATGGCTTTTGCTACAGAGTAAAACCAGTTTTTCCAAAGGACATTGGTAGCAATTTCTTAAAAAAGGAGTTGTGGCCCCTCCCCAGTGACCTTTCCTTGTCAAATGCTACATGCTGTGATGTTCCTACACAATAGAGAACACTCTGCTCTCTGTGTACTTGGCAAAGGAAGAAATGGCTTTTTTAATCTCATTGCATGAATTATTGGCAAAACGTTTGAAGTGACTCCAAGATTCCTCTCTGACTGACTTGCATTTTCTCAGGAGATTTGTGTAGTTTGGGAGTTTGGAACCTGTAACTGAATAACTTGGAGAAAGCATTTGCTACATTTTGAAAGGATGCTGTGTCCTTGCAGAAAAAACACTTCATCTGCTGCATCAATGTCCCTTCGCAGAGGACAAGCTTTCCTGGGTGTGACGTGCTGTGTCCCTGTGTCCCCCCAGAGGATACCTACCCCTTCTGCTGCCCCTCCTGGTCCTCAGCGCAGGTACTGCCCGAGGCAGTGCTTTCAGTGGACACTGCCCTCAGCATTGCCCTCAGCCAGCAGCCATGGGCGCAGGAGCAGAGCTCTGCCCTGCCAGGCCTTGGACAAACATAAGCGTGTGCCAGCGCTTGCCCTGAATAATCTATAGAGACCGGGCATGGAAACACAGGCAGCAGCGTGGAGTATCAAGGAAGTGCCAGAACTGGGATTAAGACCTGTGCTCCTGTTGCTGCAGTCTTGTCAGCCCTGAGGTATAGGGAGGGACAGCTCACATTGG